TGGAACAAACAGCTGCAAGAGAGGAGCTACACTTGGTTGAGAGCTGAACCCATGTTGAGATGACTTGCCAAGCAGAGAGGAGCTGCCCTCTATGCTAGGAGAGGAACACTCATTGGAACACGCTGGCTGTAGAAACGAGATGTCCCCTGTGGATTTGCTCTGAGCTGTTCTGTTGCTCAATAAAGCTCCTCTTCCTCTTGCTCACCCTCCACTTGTCTGCATACCTTATTCTTCCTGGGCACAAGAAAAGAACTCAGGTCCTGTCAAATGAGGGTAAAGAAGCTGTAACACAAACAGGGCGGAGACATGCCCCTTGCTCACCATGTTACAGATGAAGAGAAGGAAAGAAGAGCTGTGGCCATTTGGGGAACCCAGACTGAGGAGCTCACTGAGCCAGGGCTGTGACTCCATCTTTAAGTCAGTGAAGTTCCTGGCATCTCCTGGCTTCCAGGCACCACTGTGGTCCCCAGTGCCAACTGCAGAAGCTCTGGTGCACCTGGTCTAGCTGCAGCTTGGTGGAGAGCTGACACATGCTGGCACCTGGAACTCCCCACCCTGCCTGCAGCAGTGGCCATTTCTGACTGCACAGTGCTTGGACCACACACTTGCTCACACACCCTTCCCTGCTCCATACAGTCTCCCATGGCAGGTGTGTGACACAGACCAGTAGCATGAGACAAGTGCAGTCTGCCAGTTCGAGTGAGTGGAATGAGCACAGTGGGCCCGAGAAAAAACTCAAGCAAAGGTGCCACCAGCCACAGAGGTTTCTAGCCAGAAAAGTGACACCCCAAAGATCCCGTAACAGTATGAACATCATAGTGCGTGCTTACACAAAACTAGATGGTATAGCCTACTACACACCTACGCTATATGCTATAACCTATTCTTCCTAGGCTGCAAATCAGTACAGTGTGTTACTGTAATGGATACTTCAAGCAATGGTAACACAATGGTAAGTATATGTGTATCTAAACATAGAAGAGGTACAATAAAAATAGGATACAAAATATACAAAATAGTTACCTGTATAGGGCAGCTCCATTATAATCTGGTAGAACTAACTGTCATATATGTGTTCCATCATTAACTGAAACATTGGTGTGGAAAGAGAGAGAGAGAGAAGCAGTAATTCTCATTGTTAAAGAGAAATCCTAAACAAAACACTTAGGTTCATTGATTGACTTCCCAGATAACAGAGCAGAAAAATAATGGTACTCTGTGTAATTATAGGTTTTGAGTCCCTGGACATCAATTTACAAGTTTGTTTCTTCTAGGGGAAAGTTGCTTAACTTCTCATAACTCCTGTACCCTGAGCTGAATAATATCAACAATGAACAGTAACTTGAATAGCTGTAAGGATTAAATTCGATAAAGTACCTACTGATTAAAATCCTCATGAAAACATCAATAATCTTTTTGCAGGCCACCTTCCAGAGAGAGGAACAACTCTGTTTTCACATAATCCTTGCTTAAGAATGCTTTTATTCACGATAAAATTATGAAGCAATTTGTGGAGAATATAAACACCACATTCTAGCTATGAGTTACATCTGAGGAGTAAAGGAAGGACAACTGAAATGAGGGGATGGGCTCAAACATTTGTCAAGTTTATTGCTTAATCTGGGTAGTGGATACACAAGTGTTCACTTCATGGCTCTCTATTAACATTTGGCACATTTGATATGTTGGATTAGTAACAAACATTTCAGAAGCTTAAGGTTTATTCTGTCATAAATGTATACTTGTTACCAAATGACGAAAATACAGCTAATTACAGAGATGAAAATATCAATAACCAGAAACCCATCATCGCTGGAAAGAGAACTGTTAACATTTTCCTGCGTTTCGTTCCCTTATTTTTTGTTTGCGTGCACATCGTGCAGATATATTGCATGTATATTGCGTTGACATTTCATAGAACTGTGATATATACACAGTTTTGTGCTTTATTGTTTTTGTTGATGTTTTAATTAATATTAAATATTTTGCTATGGGGAAAGTATTGAAGTTTGATTTTTATTGAACCGTCTGTAGATGCATCTGCTTCATTTCTAGAACAATGTATCTGAATGCACGGATTGGAAATGCCAAATCTGTTTTACATTAAATAATGTTACAAATCTGGGACTGCTCCTGAGCTTTTCATTGTCTTCCTTTAAACTGTGTGTCAACCAGTCTGTTCCAAAGAAAGATGAAGGTGCAGCACCGCAGAACAATTACATTGCCTGGCAGTGCAAACCCCATTCACACAACTCTCCTTTTGGGATGGTGGGGAGGAATAGCAATAAATACAATGAATGATGCAAATGCATATTCATCACTAGAAGATGCTGGGCGTGTGATATGGTTTGTCTCCATGTCTCCACTCATGTTAAATTATAATCCCCAAGTGTCAGGGGTGAGGACTGGTGGGAGGTGATTTGATCAAGGTAGCAGATTAACCCTTGCTGTTATGATAGTAAGTTTTCATAAGATCCGATGGTTTAAAAGTGTCTCTATCTATCTCTCTGTCTCTCTCTCTCTCTCTGTGTCTCTCTCTCTCTCTCTCTCTCTCTCTCTCTCTCTCTCCTGCCAACACGTAAGATGTGCCTTGCTTGCCCTTTGACTTCTGCCATGATTGTAAGTTTCTTGAGGTCTCCCCAGCCATGCATCCTGTACAGCCTGCAGGACTGTTAGTTAAACCACTTTTCTTTATAAATTTCCCAGTCTTGGGTAGTACTTTATAGCGATGTGAAAATGCACAATACAGCTTTGCTCTGAGTGCTTTCAATGCAATGAATCCATTTAATCCAAGGCTTAGAGAGGTACAGGAACTTGCCTTTGACTCAGCTGAGGCACTGCAGGGAAGAACAAGATGGGCATCATTCTTTTTGTGATGACAACTATCCCCTTAGTTTCCTAGTTTTAAGAAATTCACACTCCAACATATGACTCCCTAATGTACATGCACATAAAGAACTGAAAAGTGCAAGTGGTAGGAAATAACGTATACCAAACACAAAAGTGGAGGCATAATTTGTAAACTGGTGGTACCTCTCCTATGTCATCATTTACAGGACTATGACTTGACAACGTCATACTGCTATTGTTTTAATTTTGAAAAGTATGCCTGCTGATTGTCTAACGTGCAAGCATCACGTAAGTGTGGGCAATAAATTGTGCAAATGTCCCGCTCAACTCTTGCCTGCAATTTGGAACTGACCACCTTATGGTCAGTTCTCAACGACTGCTAAATGGCAGTCATTGAGAACTGAACATAAGGGGAGATTCTGTGCTACTGTTGTTTGTTTAGAAGTGAAAATAAACGGCTAGACACCATCGAGAACATGGACATGGAGCACCCGATATCAGCTCTCTGCAGAGTGCACTGGGCCGACAGGCTGAGTCTTCCTCCCCCTGAAGGTGCTGACCTGAGACTCCCCCTCAAATAGTGCACCTTCCAGAAAGGGAGGGGTCGAGACAGTGAATGAAAGCTCCTGGTGTGCCAAGGTAACATGCCTGCTTCTGTGGGCCTCCAGGTCGAGCATCTGACAGGGTCCCACTCTCTCTCAAGGTCAGTCTCTGGAAGGAGCGTGTGTCCTTTCTCATCAGGGTTTATTGACAAAATTACCTATGAAGGAAAGCCACATCGATGCATCTGCTAAGGCCAGCCAGGGGCGAACGGGTATGCAGGGCTTTCAGTCCTGGCCCCACTGACGCATGGTTGGGGCAGGAGAAGAGCAATCCAGGGCACACAACATACAGCATGCAACATCACTCTTTATTATGAAAATAAACAGTGATCATGAGTGGGGCAAATACACAGAGCAAGTGGCTCTTCGGGTGGTTATGCCATGCAGCCTGCCAGTTAACTTTGGCTTCCTGATCAACCAGGCCTCCAATGCAGCTCCTGGGCATGGCCTTAGGCTGGTGAAAAGAGGAAACACAGAGGATGTGAACGAAGACAAGGAAGACACGGAAGGGCTCCTTTCAGGGGATCTACTTGAAGGCCTCTGCTGGGATCTTGCCCTCAGTCTACAGGAAGTAAAGAAAAGAAGGAGTTGGGATGTTAGTAGAGCCGGGTGCCCTGAGTTCCATCCCCATGCTACCTGGCCTCCATCTTCTTGGCCCTCCTGACGGCCCAGAGACAGCCGTCTTATGCCCACTTGATTCCCAGACCTCACCTGGAGCATAGTGAAGATCTGACCAGCTCTGGTGTAGTTCCACTCATTGTCCTGAAGGCACCTAAGGTGGGAGAAGAACAGGTGTTCTCCATTGCTGCCCCAGGACAGGCACACCGACCCTGCAATGCCACACTTACTCTATGCGACCTTTTTTTGTGGGACACACATATCAGTATGAGCACTCTTGTAACCATGAAGAAAGGCCTAGGGAAAACCAAAACGCCTATCCCTGACATTCATGCCCGCTAGAATTCAAATCACAAAAATAGGGGTATTCAAATGAACAAAGGAGCTTAATACATACTGGTAAAGAAAGATGTTCAAGAAATAACAAGTGGAAATTCAACAACATGTTTCTTTTATATTGAGATATAACGCACATACTGTAGCAGTCACACCATTTTAAGGTGTACAATTCAGTGCTTTTACATATATTCACAAGATTCTGCAACCATCACAACTATCTAATCCCAAACTATTGTGATCGCCTCAAAAAGAAAGTCCTTAACTGTTAGAGATCACTCTCCATTCTCCCTCTTCTCTGCATCTTGGCAACCACTACTCTGCTCTCCGTTTCTAGGGATCTGCCCGTTCTGAACGCTTCACGTGAATGGAATCATGTAATTACGTGGCTTTTTCTGACTCGCTGCTCTCATTTAGCACACAATGTGTTCAAGGTTCACCTATGTCATAGTATATATCACAACTACATTCTTTTGCATGAATGAATATTGCAATAGTATTCCACCCTATGGATGCACCACATTAATCTATCCATTCATTAGCTAAAGGTCACTGGATGTGTTTCCATTTTTTGGCTATTTCGAATAATACCACATGAAAATTCATGTGCAAGTTGTTGAATGGGCATATATTTTCATTTCCTTTGATATACACTTAGGCGTGGGATTACTGGATCATGTGTTAACTCCGTAATTAAGATTTTGAAGAACTGCCAAAACCTTTTCCCCAGCGACTGCTCCATTTTATGTTATCAGCAGTGATACATGAGATTTCCGATTTCTCTGCATTCTCCCCAACATTTGTAATGTTTTCTTTCACTGACTAAAGCTATCCTAGTGGGTATGAAGTGGTAGCTCAGTGTGGTTTTGATATGCATTTCCCTAACGACTAATGATGTTGAGAAGTTTTGCACATGCTTGTTGGTCTTCTTTGAAGAAACACCTTTTCAAATCATCTCCCCGTTTTCTAACTGGGTGGCTTGTCTGTTTCTAGTTGAGTTGCAAGGGTTCTTCGTGTCGGCAATGTGATTTGCAAATATTTCCCCGTTCCACTGAGTCAGTTTTCCACTTTCTTGAGAGTGTCTGTTGATGCACCAAAGCTTTTAATTTAGATAAAGTCCAATTTACCTTTTTTTCCCCCTTTGGTTGCTTGTGCTTTTGGTTTCATATGGAAGAAATGGTTGCCTAATTCAAGGTCATGAAGATGTACACTTACACTGTTTTACAGTTCTAGCTCTTACTTTTAGGTCCTTGATCCATTTTCGGTCAGTGTTTGCACATGATGTGAGTTAGGGGCCAAAAGTAATTATTTTGCTAGTGGATATCCACTTGTCCCAGCAACAACTGTAAAGAAGACTATTTTTTCCTCCACTAGATTTTTTTCAGCATCCTGAATGATAATCAACTGGACATAAATGGACTGCCAATTCTATCCCACTGATTCCCACGTCTGTTCCTACTTCGGGACCATGCACTCTTGATTAATGTAGTTTTGCAGCAAGTTCTGAAATCGGCAAGTGTGAGTTTTCTAACATTGTTCCTCTCTTTCAAGACGGGTTTGGGTGTTTTGGGTCCACTGCATTTCCACATGAATTTTGGGATTACCCTGGCAATTTCTGCAAAGAAGCCAGTTGGGATTCTGGCAGGGACTTCAATCAATCTGTAGGTTGTTCTGGGTGGTACTGGCGTCTTAATGATGTTAAGCCTTCCGATCGATGAACGTGGGATGTCTTTCCATTTATTTAAATCTTCTTTCGTTTTTTTTCAGCAGTGTTTTCAGATTTCAGAGTGTAAGATTTGTACTGCTTCTCTTAAGTTTGTTCCTACTTATTTTATTTATTTATTTTTTTGATGTTACTGTAAATGGACTTCTTTCCTTAGTTTCATTTTTTGGATTGTCCATTGCAACTACATAGAAGTGCGAATGATTTTTGTATATATCTGGCAACCTTGCTGAACTGGTTTCCTAATAGTTTGTTGTGCTAGATTCTTGCAGATTTTACATACGGAAGGTAATGTCATTTGGGCATTGTGTCATTTGAACACTTATTTACCTATACCAGTATAAAAGCATGATACCTTTTTCATGGGCCCACTTTTTTTTCAAAGCAAAATATCCAGGTTGTTATTTTTCCAAATTGCACGTGAGTCTCCACTGTTCACTCCTATGATGTCCCAACTCCCCTCAGCCCCATGTCCTCCCAGCACTCACTTATGAGACCATTCCAGCTTCATCCCAGACTGGGCAGAGAAAGCCTGCACCATTTCCTGCTGCTCCTGGGAGACGGAGGGCTCAGAGCTGGAGGAGGGTGTGGACACTGGGATGGAGAAGGCACTCTGAGTCTCTTGGGGGCTGGCATCCCTCACAAACAGCTCATCATTCACGATGCACAGACTGGTGGAAAGAAAAATGCACCCTCAAGCTGGACAGGTAGACAACTCCACACCCCCGACAACAGGATCCTTCTTAATCACTGCCACTCAACAACCAAATTCCTTCCATATCCCTACTGTGCCCGACTCCTGGATTTTTTTGGCTGGTACCCTCTAACCCTCCCATGGAGTTCACTTTTGGAGAGACTGTCTACCAGCTTCACTAGATTTTCAGATCTAAGCCCAACAGGTTTACCCTGTACAAGAGCCCAAGGAAATGGATAGCCTTATTCGGGTTTTCAGAGAAAGGCACTGAATCACAGAGAGGTTGGCTAAGCTGATGAAGGTCACACAGTTTGTTGAGTGCTGCAGTGAGGAAGAGAACCCTACTCCGACTCCAGGTCCCACACTCTTAAACACTAAACGAGGCGGCTCCTTGATCTACCTGTTGGCCTTCCACAATACTGAGAACACCCCGAGGACTGCACCCAACACATTCCCACAACACTATCCCCAGGCTGGGATGGGTGCTCCACCCACAACACAGAACTAACCTGGAATTGCTACCAGGGGTAGTGATGAAGGTCCGGGTGAAGGCGAAAACAGAACCCTGAGACTGTCCTTCCACTTCAAAGACAACAAACACCACCACCTTATAGTTGTACAGGCTTTACGTGCTCACACGGTGATCCCCAGTCAGAGTCTCGCTTGACACTCACACAGAAGCAGAGTAGACCAGGACAATTGTTCACATGGAGTCAGGAGGATGTGGCAGGAATGGCGAGGGCAACAACGGGAACAATATGCTCCCAGTGATAGGGCCCCTATCATGTGTGGGGCCCCGTGAAAACCACAAGTTCACTTGATTCCTATTTCACATAGCCCAAGAGATGGGTTATTGTTGGCCCCATTTTGCAAATGAGGAAACTGAAGGGTTAAGTAACCAGCAGAAGTTCACAGAGTAAGAACCTGGAATGAGAGCTGTCAAACTCCACAGTCCGTGTCCTTAAAGCACGCCTGAGCTGTGCAGGGCAGACAGTCATGGACCTAGTTCAGACCAGGGTGGTTTGCGGGCACAGTAGGGGTGGGAAAACATGGAGGGAAGAAGAGGAGGGAAAGGGACAAAATCAGGGAAGCTGGGAGAGTTCTGAGAGGGAGCCTGGCCAGGGGGAGGAAGCAGTGGGGATCGAGGGAGGGGACTCTACAGACACTCACCCTCCTTGAACACCCCGTTGACAGAAAAGCAGAGCATCCATTTCTGAAAGGGAAGAGCTCAGGTGCTCGGGATCCTCCTTAACCTCCTTACCCACCTCTGGCTCTCTGGGCCTGCCCGAGGGAGGAAGCAGGTGCTCACCGTCTGGTACCACATGTCCACCAGGATGGAGCTGAGGTCATGCCGAGTCTTGGGCAACGCACTGAGGAAGTCCACAATGTCACGTTTTGTATGTTTCAGCAGTTCCTCCCTCAGGTCTGTAGAGGAGAGGAGAGGGAAAGAATGGGGGGGCGGGGGCTGCCACACTCTGATCTGTGGCCTCTGTGATTGTTCCTGCCACACCCCCTTACCTTGCCCACTCTTCCCCCTCACACACTTACAGGGGTCCTTGAGTGTTTTCATATTCCTGCTATCCTCCAAGTACTGGCTCAAGCTCTTCCTAGGAGAGAAAGAGGAGCAGGAGTGGGTGGTCTGGCCAGTGCGGACATTTCCAGGAGCTGGCCTGTGTCTGCTGAGGAGACACACAGCCTCGGAGGAGGGTCTGAGCCCCCATACTCACGGAGTTGAGTCCTCAGTGTTGAAGGGAATTGTCACGGAGAAGCAGGCCTCCTCATGGTAAGCACCAAGGAGACCCCGTCTATCTCCAGAGTCATAGATCGAGTAATACCTGTGGGGAAGCAGTGAGGATAGGCTATCTCTGTGGCCTGGACCCCAAATGAGACTGGAAAACTCCCATGAACTGATCTGTTCATGGGTGGACCAGTCTGCCTCAGCCCTCCACTTCCTCATGGTCCCAGGGATACTTACTGCTGCAGGAACTGCAGGACCATATGCTTTAGGGTCTCAGATCCATTACAGCTTTCCTGAAATCAAAAGACAATTTGGACCTATGCAGTGGACAAAGCCTTCCTTACAACACTCCAAATCTTGCTTGGTCCTTCTTTCTCACCTTGCAGGGTTTCATTAACTCAGAGCTGTCAATGTCAACAGTTGTTGCTGAGGATAATGCTCGGCCGTCCTGGAGAAGGAAACAGGAAGTCAGCAGTGGAGACCAAGGAGGTGGAGCTGGATGACCGGTAAGATGAACATGCCCGGGGAGAAGAAGCATCAGAGGCCAGGTGGGAAATGGTCCTGGAATTTCCAGTGGGTGGCTTTCTCATGAGGTGCCGGACATCTCTACAATTACATGCCAGCATGGGTGTTTGTGTGCGTGTGTGTTTATGGACACGTTTCCAGGCAGAATATTCTTGTCCTTTTCAAGAATCCATGCCTCTAAAATGGATGAGGGTCTGATACAAGCATGTAGTCTAGGCAAGACCCAAAGGACTTGAGGGCAGGTGTGGAGGTCATGTTCTGGAGTAGGAGGAGACTCACGGTATGATAGATACTTACCAGGCGTAACAACTTGGGGAAACAATCCTGGATGGCACTGTCCGAAACCAAAAATAGAATGAAGTGACTGACAGTTCAGGGCTGTGTGGCCTCTCTCCCTCTCCTTTCTCCTGGTTAGCTTCCACATAGACTGCCCTGACTCCCTTTTCTCCAGTGCCACAAGCAGCAGCATTGGGAGCCCAGGCTCCAGGGCTTTCTTCCCCTCCCTCTCTTCCTCGTCTTTTTCCAAGCCAACATGGAAGGCTCTGCAGGGAGCACGAAATGGGGTGGGAACCCAGGGCTCTGCTACCTCACTGGCTGTCCATCAATGTGGCCAAGAGCAGGTAAGCCCTTAGGGATGGCCCAGGGTGCTGGGACAGGGAGGTGAGCGAGGCCAGGCTCAGGTGGCAGGAAGATGGGGGCAGGGGTGTCAGTAGAAATGGGGTGAAGGTAGGGGTGGGAGAGACGGGGGAGTCATAGGAGATGAGAGACAAAGGAGAAGCAGGATGCAAAGCAAAAGGAAGGGAAAGATGATCTACTGTGGGGGTGGACTTCAGGGAGGAAGAGAGGAGAAAAGGTCTCCCCTGCTGCAGCCCTTTCCCTCAACGCCCCCTGGCTGGCCCTGGGGACTGAGGCAGGAAAGGAAAACATGTACCTGTTGGGCTGGGGCCCGCTGGATGCAGCTGGAGCCTTTCTCACCTGTGTGAGCTCAGTCTGAGCTGGGAATGGAAAACAGAGCAGCCACGGGGACAGGAGACCTTCTCCCAGGAGGAGTGAAGGGTCAGGCCCCAGCTCAGCATGGGATTCAGAGTCTGGGAACACCCTCTCCCGGCCACTGCATTCTCTTCTGATGGTCCCTGGCGCCTGCACCCAATGTGCTGACACCTTGTCCGAGGAAGATGACCCACCTCCGGCTACCCAGGGCTACTCTGAGGGCCCAGGCAAGACAATGTGAGGTGTGGAAGGAAGGAGGGGCAGTGGCTTGAGAGGTCTGTCTTTCTGTCTCCTCAACCTCCTCTTCCTCTGCCCAGTGCCTTCCACTCCTGACTCAGGAATGTGGCCCACTTCTGGTTCCCTGACTCGTTAAAGCCAGGTTTCTCCTCAAGGAGGGCCCAGCTTCTTGCATGGGGCCACAGGAAGAGATGGCAAGACAGCAGCCACCCAGGGCCTCGGCCCCTAGCATGGGGCAGGGAAGCCCTCACGCCAGCACAGGACAGGTGCAGGCACCTTTCTGGAGCAAGAGGAGAACCCCTCTCGGGAGAGTGGAGGGAACTCCCATCTCACCATGGAGGCAGGAAGGCCTGTCTCAGCATGAGGCCCAGAGAGAGCCACAGGACTCTTCTCAGTCCAGGGCACCAGCATCTGAATACTGCTGGCCCTGCAGAGGTGAGGGAGCCCCACTTCCTGGAGCACACTCACAGAAGACGCGCTGGAGGAGGCCACGTGGAGACAGGAGGGAAAGGCACCCCAGAGCAGGTGAAAAGTGGAGCATGTCAGAGAAAGGAAAGGAGACAGCTAAGCACAGATGAGAGTGATGCCAAGAGAGGAAAGAGAGGGAGAGCAAGAGAGAGAGAGAGAGAGAGAGAGAGAGAGAGAGAGTGTGTGTGTGTGTGTGTGTGTAGGAGGGGAGGAGGTCTGTGGTCCTCCCAGAGGACCAAGGCTGCCTCTTCCTGCACAGGGGCACTTTCAGATACAGCTCAGTCATCCAGGGAGCAAAGGTGCCCAGGAAGGGCGACAGGGGTTGTCACTGACCTTACATAGGCGGACTCGTCAGAGAAGGTGCTGCACAAGGGGTTCCCTTCTAGCCACAGCTCTTCGAGCTTCAGCCCTTTCACCTTGCCCAACTCCCACACCGACTTCAGCTAAGAAAGATGGGGAGGAAACTGGAGAAGGAGGGCCAGGGAAAGACAGACACCCAGGACCCTGGGCCCCAAGTTCCCCCAGCCCTCACGGTCACCTACAGACACCAGACACCTCTGCCTGCCTGTTGCCAACATCCTGATGTGTACCGCCATCCATCCTCCACCCAAAGTTGATCTGGCTCCCCCTTCTCACCTCATTTTTGGAGAGGTTCAGGACCGTGACTTTGGGGGCCTTCTCTATAATGTCAGACAGGCCATCCAGCTGGTACAGTTTGTTGTTGCACAAGTTCAAGGACAGTAGCTTTGGGTCAAGAAGAGTTAGTATGGCAGCTACTATCTTGGGCCTCAGAGACACATCTGCCCTCCACCTTTTCTCTTCCACCCCTCTAACTAAAAACCAGCACTTGGCCTAAGGCTTCACCTCAGGGAAATTCGATTCAATGATCTTCAGAGTGGCAGCCATGCAGTTTCTTCGATTCAGGATTATATCAATATCATGGCCCGTCAAGTCTTCAGAAAGCCAGGAGAAGGGAATCAGAAGGCTGGGAGGGCCCTGGCTGGACCAGAGCCAGCACCAACCCCTCCCTAAATTGCCATCCCTAAGTTTCCCTCCCAGGCAGACTACCCTGCCCCCACTTGCCTTAGAATTGCTGCTGTCAGCCATACCTGGGTCAAAGCGGAGACTTTGGAGATCAAGAGCTTGCTGGGAGACATCATATCGTTTGTCCATGGTCAGCTGCAGAGTTAGAGATGAAGACAGAGACTCTTAGGCTCTGGTGGTGGTAGTGGTGGTGGTGGTGGTGGTGGTGACAGGGAAAGAGGGGACCAGGGGAAGAAGAGGTGCGTCCAGGAAATAGGCATGCAATGATCATGGAGTCTGTATTACCTTCAGCAACTCCATTTCGCTTGGCTTCAACTTATTCTTCACAGAGAAGGGCGCAGTAGAATGATTGACAAATATACATATCTGCAGGAAGGTGAGGCGGGTAAGTACCAGGACCTCTAATCGCAATGAGGATGACCAGCCTCCTGGCCTGTCCTCCTGCCCAGAGACTAAGGACAGGGAATGCACACACCTTCCGGTTGTGGTCATCACAAATCGTATAGTTGACATCCTTCAATGCGGAGGCAGTACTAGCACCTTGCACAAAGAAGTGTGCCCGATTTTGGAAGTAGTGGAACTACAGGGAGCGAAGGCAACAGCAATGGTGTCAGAGGGCAACGGCCCCTGCTGAGCCAGGCCTCTCCCCGTACCCCGTGCCCACTCATCTGGCTTCACCATGCTCTCTTACATCAAACGGAGTGAAGGGGACACTGCAATGGCTCTGGATTGAATTGATTAGCCATGCCTTGTCATACTTTCCCCCGTAAGGAATCTGAGGACAAAAACAAGACACAGGAGAGAAAGGAGAGACAACATGGAACAAATGATGGAGAACAGAACCAACCGGCTCTTTTTTCTTTCTTTTTACTCCAACCTTCTACTTAGTTTGGACTTCTGAAGAAGCGACTGCTGACATGATTTCTTATTTATTTGTGTGCCTAATATGGATTCCCTCAACTCCCTTTCCCCCCATTCCAAAGCTCTCCTCCAAATAATCAACTTAGGGTGTTTTAAGTGGTCTTCCTTCTATCAGGTTCCAGCGTAGTCCACCTAATGCAGACCTCACCAAGATACTCACTGTGACCTTGAACCAGGCCCTCGTTTGTCCATCTTGTGTGTCCTCCATCATTTTTCTCTCTGGACGTTTTCTGTTTCTCCATGTGGTAGTATGGATTTGGTCTTCACTATGCCATTTCACTAGCTTCCTGCTGCATTCGATGCTATAAGGAGTGCTGTGGGGAAGAGGCGAGAAGGGGGGTATCCATTAAATCTAAGAAAATCTTGTATACACGCTCCCCTCACTGACAGCAGCGCTACAGTTAGGATTGCTTAGCCATTATTCCACTTTCAGCATTCCTCAGTTCTTTAATGAGAGAAAAAAAGGAAGACCACGGAGAATAAAAGGGTTGCACAGTCCCGGGGGACTGCTACGTGCAAACCAGGCTGTCTGGTCACTTACTGTCTTAGTTGGCGGTCCTTGTGGACATCTCCCATCTCCAAGCATCCATCATTCTCCTGGCGCTCTGAAGGAGGAAGCTCATGCCCACCGTGTTCATAATGAGGGTTCCTCTTGTCAAAATTGTCCTGGAAAGGACTCCTACCTTTCTTTCTTCCTTGAAAAGTGCCACCATGGTCATGACATCCTGCAACTGGGAACAAGAAGACAAGTTGGAAGGCACGTCAATGGGTCAATGGCCCACTTACCACGTGCCATGCCGTGGGCTAACTCCATGGTAGGGTAAGCAGAGTGCCAACCCGCCCCAATGGACCAATCACACAAGCCCCAGAAAACGAACTCCTCTGCCTGTCCAGATACAGGGCCTTACCTCACAGGTGGCACAATCAGGGGAGGAATCTTGGGAGAGGAAGCAACTGTGTTGAACCTCTTTAAGAAATGGAGCAGGAATTATACAGAACAGAGGTGCGTGTGTCCATGGGTTAGTCTAGATACCAGACGCACACCTGGAGGGGTTTCCTAATCTTGCCTTCCCTCGGGCTTCTCCAGTCTAACACACCAACCACACCAACACCAGGGAGACAACCTCTCTAGCACCTCCCAAATCCAGTCCTCCAAATGCATTCTGTGAACAATCGGCAAGCTGTACTTCTTTGCCGGTGTAGCACAGGCTTTAATGGCAGGCGAGAGTGAGGTATCAGCTTCCGAAGCTGCCCCCTAACCTCCAGCCTTGCCCTCAACAATACTCAGTTGGAAATACCCAGAGCAGGCTTTCTTTTTGTCCAGCCTGAAATGCTTTCAGCCCAAGACACAACTCTTCCCAAGCAAGTGACAGAATTCCCAGAAAGAAAGAAAATCAGCAAAGATACTGAAAACCAATACAGTAACAGGATCTAAAGGACATAAGTAAAACACCGTGCCCAACAACGAAAGCAAAGCATGCTTTTTGTTTCCCCCTCTATCGTCTTATAGCATTCACGAAGGTAGACCATCTCCTGGGCCATCAAACAGACCTCAACCAATTTCAAAATGTACACGTCATCTCAGGGTGCCCATATGAATAAAATTTCGGTCACTGCTGATCTCTCTGCGATGTACTACTGATTATGGCCAGGCCTCAGATGACCTGTGGGGGCTGGAGAAGGCGGGTCACTGCTTTCACTGTGTGTGACCCACTGTCAGGACAGTTTCTGCTCCTCTCGGCTGTTTTGGGACTTTCCCTGTGTGCCATTAGAAGTGATATTAAATGTAGGCAGAGCGTTTAACCTAGACATTCCTGATGCTCGGTCCCCACAACTTGGAGGTGGACCTGGAGTGCTCACTTTCTCTCACACTCTACATCCAACCGATCAGGATGGATGTATCTTCTCTGGGCTCTACCTTTAAAATATATCCAGAGTCTGGCCACTTCTCACCCCCTCCATTGCTACCTACCCTGGCCAGGTCACCAACATCTGTCTCCTGCATTACGCTGCCTTCCAACTTGTCCTTCCGCTTTTGCCCTTGGCTCCCTTACCATCTATTTTCAACACAGCAGGCAGAGGGACCTTTTTAAGCGCCTAAGTCAAATCTTGTCATTCCTCTACTCAAAATCCTTTAACCGGGGTTTGGGGCCCATCGGTATGTTAAAAAGCTATGAGTCCCTAACAATACGCAGCTACAGTGACGACAACAACAACAACAACAACAACAACAACAACAACAACAACAAAGACCCTTAGTGCTGACATTTGGAGGATGCCCGGAAACCAACTCATTTTCACGAAAGTCCATAAATGAAAGGGAAAAAAAACAAAGATTAAAGTGAGGGTTCAGGGCACGTGGTGAATATACGGAGCACAGGAAGAGTCAGCGTCATTTCTGAGAACCAGCATTACTTCAGAAATAATGTCACTGAGGGGAAGAAGGTGTAAAAGTGAGCTATTCAACAGCTACAGCTACAGCCTCAGGCAAGGCTTTGTGTTGGAAGAGAGCACAGATGATACACATGCCACAGAGGTACGCGACAGAGAGAGATGCTGAAGACAAAACACACACAGGCACACATCCGCTTGCTGAACTCTGGCATCTCAGCACAATCCCTGTCTCGCAGTTGTGCTGCCAGAATTACAGGCGATCTCAAGAGTACTATAAAGCAGCTAGTGCTTCTCACCCAGACCGCCTGGGCTTCCCCTCCGGCCCCACCACGATGTACTGGCTGATCCTCCCACACAGACACAGTAGTGAGTATCCTTTATGACATCACGTGCGTTCCTACTGGTACTTCCTGTGTTATTTGGAATTCTGCCTACGTCACTGCCATGCCACTGAGTGCGTCAGCATCCCTGCTACGGCATGGAAAGAATGAGGTAAGAAGAAAACCAACACTTGCCCAGTGGCAACCAACAGTTGCTCCGTGTTGGGCAGACTCACTAGGTTTCTCTTGACCTCCTCACAGAAATCCCATGACAATTGTAACCAGTCTCTTTTCAGATCATGGATATGAGGCTCACAGACGTCAGGTACATTTCCCAGCCAAGTAAGTGGCAGAACAGGAATTACATCGTCACCTATATTGGTCTGCCTCTACACCCTGGGTGCTCCTCCAGCAACTGCACTGGTTCTCCCTTAAATGGCAAGCTTTCAGGTCTCAAGGACAGACTTTGGTGAGCAGGCCAGGGATGATGTTTTGTGTTAGTCACTCCTGTTGGGGTGAGAACCAGGTGCCTTGGATAAGGTGGAGATCTCTGTCTTTGACCAAATGCGTGGAATCTGTTTGGGCCACAGGTTTTCAGATTAGGAGTCACTTTGGGCGGGTGGTGTCTGGCACAGAAGAAGGGCCTCATTGATATTTGTTAAAAGAATGCATGTGACGTAGGTTTGGGATCATCGGCAAAACGACTTTTGAGAATACATCCATCTCAACCATTTCTACCGACGTCTACCTGTATTTATTCCAGACCTATTCGGGCTGCAGAACTATTCCATAACCTACTTGCAAAACTAGAAAGAACTACGTTTTTCTTCTGCAACATTAATATTTTTTTCATTAATGTATCGTTAGAAACAGAACTAAGCACCTCCCTGCAGGCTAAGGCTAGAACGGCAGCTTTGAGGATCTCAGAGGAGGAGGCTTTTGCAAATAGTAGTGACGGAAATGAGGAGAGGCGTTCCCTGAATCCAGCAGACAGAGCTTTCTGGACATGTGGTCTCTGTAGGCAGAATGTTCTGGACCTACAGGCATGTTGTGTTCACTCAGCCTTCTGACAGGCAGGAAGTACCCTCCCTGTCTCAGGGAAAGGAAAGAGTATGTGGGTCTGTGCGTCTGTGGAGCCCATGCAAGCAAGTATTTGTATTTTGCATTACATGCTTCTAGAATTAGGTTACAGATAGGCACGACTCCAGTCATGTTGGGAAACACACTGCCGCACAATACTGGAGTCCACTGCACATTTCTTTTCATGTGTCATGTATTATATATATGGCCAAATTTTGTTTCTTGTTCAGAATATGCTTTTTTCTTTTCTTTTTTCTTTTTTTAACCTCTCGGTGTTTTAATATTTGAATTGACAGTTTTAAAATAAGAAAGTATTTAATAGAGTTCTCTGCACACAAAAGTAATGGAACAATATTCACGGGTTGACCAGGGTTACAGAGCACCCCCAGTGGGGGAGACCAAAAAACCCAGTGGAACACAGCCAGGGCTTCAAAGTGGATGTAAGATTTTGAGTCCCTGATCTACATTTCCCAGGAGAAGCACATGAATACTTTTAAGCGTAAAAGTGATATTTTCCATGAGATTTACACCAACATACCCTTCCAGTAACCGTGTGTGAGTCTAATTTTCTGCGATATGCCTAACCATTCAGAAGTCATTCTTACACTTTGATCCGGACATTTCACTTTTTGAATTTACTACATAAATCGCTCTCTGTCTAAATATATACATATAATTATATGGCTGTGCCTTACAGGTGCCTTGGGACAGAAGGATGATGGGACCAGAGAGTGGCTGATATTATCCTGGGAGAAGCAGAAATGACTGTCCTTGGAATCAAGTAGACATGGCAAGGAAGGGGCATGACATACAGAGTGAAAAGGGCAAGGGATGGATGTGTGGGTCAGAAAGGAGAGGGTGAGGTGAATACAGAGAAGACAACGAAACACACATTGAAAAATCCCCTAGGGAACTGAATTCATCCTGGCGATACGCTCCCTTCTGGAAGCCCTCCTTCTTTCCTGTCCACGTACATCTTGTCTGTCCCTGCTACTTCACTTCAATTTGAACACTAGAGAAACAGTTCCCACACAGTCTAAAAAAAGAGAGATGGTACAGGGCAACAGTGTGCAACGACAAGTTTCTTGCCCAGAAGCCTGGAGTCAGGGGTCACTGGTTCCAGACACCACACCCATCATTGCCCACCAGACTCTGAGTGGGCCCCTTGGCCCCACTCATTTCAGCCTTGACACAGAGTCGCACAGGATTGGTTATGGGCACAGGATTTGAAATCAGATCCATCAGGATTTCAATCCTGGTGCTAAACTCTATGATCCGAGGCAAGTAACTCGCTGTGACTCAAGTTCTTTTTGCTCCTTTCCGCCCCCCCCGACTCAAAGAATTTAGTAACGGTTTCAACCTTGTGGGCTACCGTAAAAATTAAGTGAGTTAACACATGGCAATACGTGAAAAGCACCTGGAGAAGGGCCTGTGACCTAACAAGCACCATACATAAGTTGTCTATTGCTATGTCCAGAACCTAGTACAACATCTGGCATTTACTGAGGGAGAAATATGTGTTAGTTGTATTCGTTGTCATTAGTCCTCCTGGAAATGACAAGGAAAAGAGATGAGTGAGTCGGATCTGGTTGCCATGTCAGCCGTATTTTCACAAAGCGGCAGTAGTAAAACAGGGCAGCCCCAGCCCCAGTGGGGAATCATGTGACATATGGATGAAGGGAACCAAAATAAAATGCTCGGAGCATGAAACAGGTCATGTGGAAGGATTCAATAGGGGACTTAAATGCCCATTTCCAACCTTTGAGGAAACAAAATGTATTATTATGCAAGAAATGTTTCAGGTTTAAGTGGCAGACTACAAGCAGCCAGGCAGAAGATTCGTCACACCATGTGATACAAAGGGAAAGAAAAAAAATGACAGGTTACAAAACTGTATATTATAGTATGATTCCTCAGAAGAAAATATCAGTGAAAAATTCTGTTTTCATTTGTAAATATGAACACAAACAAGTCAGGGTAAAGGGACACGTGAGAATGTCAACCATGTGTAGAAGCAGGTGGCTGGAATGCAGAATGGTTATACTTTCACACCTATCCTTTATACTTGTATAAGTGGATGTTTATGGCTGGGTCAGGGGTTTTGTCCAGTGCTTGGAAGAAGCACTTTTCCTATTGACCCATATACAGCATAATGGAAAACGGTTTACTTATTGATTATCGGGTCTGAATATCTTCCCTGTGATTATAAGCTAACCTCACTTTTGACGAACTCATTCAACTTCTCCTGATCCCAGGTTCCTTAAATGTAAAAACCAGGGATTAGGGCTAGCTAGCACAATCAATCAAGATATAGAACATAACAACCGGACACCCCAAACGGTTCCCGGTTGATCTCGCTCTTCACCCCTTGGCTCCATGCAAACCACACTGATCTGCTTTGTCAGTTAGTATACATTCGTTTTCCTAGTTCTAGGCTTTCACAGAAACGGAATCAAACACCCTGTACCCACCTTTGTGTACTGGCTTCTTTAACTCGGCATGTTTCTGTGACCCATCCATGTTCTTGAGATTTCCTTGCTGAGTAGTAGCCCCTATGATGGACATACCACAATTTGTTCACCTTTTGATGTTGTTTTAATGAAGTTTCAGGGAAGTGAATTGAAGGAGAAACTTGCCTCCAGATTAGCCATCTTTCTTGGACAGCCTTCTATTCCTTGTAACGGTACATAATTTCATCTTTATCACTCCTTTGTCTCTTCTGGGGAAATATTATCTTAATGTCTGTTTCAGTCGCTTCCATTTTTTTCTATTCCCTCAGTGCCAATTACTGAATTTGTTGAGTTGGTGCCATCCCTGGGTTGTGTCTGTCTTCTGCAGAGGAACCTCCACTCCTGAATCGGCCCTGGGCTCACGGACACTTTGCTTTAATCCATACGCTTCTCTGGCCTTGCCGGCAGTTTAGCTTCAACCCGGACACAAGCTGTGGTGGCCCCTGCTTTGCAGTTTTCTCATTTCCTTTCTGTTTGAAAAAGACATTCTCCTCGATTTCTTACACGGGAATCTTTATTTCGTATTTTCCAGTGTAACTCTGTATTTATTGTATATTGTATATTCTGAAGCCACAATTATAACATTTTAAAAGTATACATCCTAAAATACTTGCATTCTTATCATTTAATTGCTCAAGCAGTTCTCAACCATGATTACCTTAGAGCCCACTTGGAGAACGTTGAGTACAATTCCAAGCACGCAAGGACACACCCAGAACAATCAAAGCAGAACCTGGGTTAGATCCAGGGCAGACCACACTTTTTAACTCTCCACGTGACTTGCAGTGTGAACCAAGGTTGAAAAACACTGTGTTAAAGCCTCAGCTTTTGGCTTATGCTTGCCAGATAGGATCCTAGGAATAGCTGCCTCCCTCATTTTGCTGACTTCCCACTCAGCACGTTTTGGGGGACCCAATGAGTCTGTTAGCTTAAGAAGCGGCGGTCAGCAACTATGGCCTGTGGGCCAAATCTATCCCAAATCCCCATTTCCGTCAAGGTCTTTTGCTGTGCAACCAATTTTGGTGCCAAGTTGTGTGTTAATCAAGGTCCCAACCTGCCTATGCCAGAATTCACTTCTAGCTGTTTTGTACAAACAAGATATCTGTAATAAAATATATTACATAGCTTACAAAAACTCTGTGAGGGCCAGAAAAGCAGGCCTGGATGCTGTACAGCCAGGAGAAGTCCACTCCACATTATGAACCGCCCAGCTGAAATACCACTGTTGCCTGCCCATTAATTGGACATGCATGACAGAGACTGAATTCTAGAACTCTACAGTGGCTGCCCCAAAACCTGGAGACCTCCCTCATCGCAGGTAGTCCACCCCACATATGGCTCCCATGCTATTCAGTTCCCCTCTGAGTCTCATGTTGGCAGCTTCATATTATAGATATCCCATTTGGAACCCTAACTGCAAAGGGCGCTGTAAAATTGTGTTGTGTGTGTGTGTGTGTGTGAGTGTGTGTGAGAGGAGAGAGAGAGAGAGAGAGAGAGAGATAAAGAGAGAGAGAGAAAGAGAGAGTGGTCACCCATGCATGTGGTGGTATGCATGTGTGTTTCCTTTCATGTTCCAACTTTCTAGTCTCTACGGTACAGGAAAGTATATGAAGAATGTTCCAAGAGTGTTGGAATAGCTGCCAAATAAGCAGATTCAGTCGTATAGTTCACAAGAACACTTTTTTTCTATTGTAAATGGTATATTTACAAATAGAGACGGTATTTTCCATTTGTTACAAGGTTTGTGTATATTTGTCTTACATCCAACAAACTTGTTATATCTGTTATAATTTTACATTTTCTGTAGCTTCTATCTTGAGTTTTCATATGAAGATAGGCACATCAACAGCTATAAAATTTGTTTATTGTCACTTTTATACATATGTTCAATTTATGTAGCACAAGGCAATTGCATGCATCACAGGCTTACTTGCACTGGCCTAATATGATATAAGGCTTACTGCAACTAGATTCAGTATGACATTGAACAGAATATTGGTCATACCAGTCCATCTTATCCCTTTTCTGATTGTAAGGGATGAATAATTCTAGTGTTTTACTATCAAGGGCGGTGTCTGATGTGCTGTATTGTTTCGATACCCACTGTCAATTTAAAGAAATAGCTTTCTATATTACCGATCTACTGAGAATTACTGTTATTCTTGTTGTTCAGTTCCGGCTGGTTCATTTATTGCATCCCCACTAAATGATCTTTGTGGTATGTGTCCTGTCCTCCTCCCTTTATTCAGCTAACGTGTTAAATTACATTATGGATCTCTTAAAATGTCAAACAAAGCTTGCATGCTTGGGATTAAACACAACTTTGTCATGCTGTGTTATCTGTTTTACCCATTGTTGGGTTTAGTTTGCCATTAATTGATTTATATTATTTGCGCTTCTGTGACTAATTCAGATCGGCTAGTAATTTTGCCTTTGCATGTATTCCTTGTCAAGAATATATCAAACAAACTAAGATGTTCTATTCCTTCAGTAGGGAAAGCTATATTTTCCCCCTGGAATTCATCTATTTAATCTAAGTTTTCAAATGATCACATCTTTTTCATAATGTGATCTTTTCCATCTTTTCTGTCACTGTAAGTGTGACACTATCTTCATTCCAAAAGTGGCTTACCTGCACCATCTCGCTAGTAATTTTCTCTGCCCATGTGGCCAGAGATGTTTATCATTATCTTGTGTTTCTGAAGCACTGACATCTAGCAATTTTGTTCAAACTCCATCCACATCTGTTTTCAGGTTTCATCAAGTTAGGCTCTAATTTTTATCATTTTTCCTTAACAGAGTGGAAAGGCGTGGATATTATTCTATATTAAGTAAATGGTCAATGAACTGTCCTTTCATCTACCACCTGATTTATTTTATAATAGAGTACAATGGATATTCAAATATCCAATACATTCCCTCGTTATGGAATAGACCTCTGGCTTATCAGTGCTGGTCTTTTTAACCAGTGCCATCGTGTCTATTCAATTAAACTATCAGATGATTAAGAAGAGGGAATTGCAATTGTTGATAGTGAAAAGAATTTTACTATAAACTTCCCGTAAGAGAAGAGCAGACAGCGTAGAAAGAAGCAGAAAGGACATCGAACTTTGAAATCACACCAGGGTGGATTCAAATCCCGATTCTGTCACTTACAGCCCATGTGGTGTTAGGCAAGTACTTAATCCCTCCCAGCTTCGATTCCTTCATGCGGTAGTCAGTGCTGCCACTTACCAAGTGTTTACATTCTCCCCTGTCCCAGGCACCTGGTAGAACTGCCCGTCCTGACTGCCTTCCTTGGGGCAGGGTCGTGCATGCGACTAGCTCTGGCCAATGGGTTGTGAGTGACCAGTGACATGGGTTATTTCTGGGCCAGAACATTTGGTCGTTGGTTGGAGAGCCCCTAGGGCTCTCTCCCACTCTGACGCGGTGACTAACCCTTTTCTAGACGGTGGTTGCTCCATTAGTTTGGGTCTCTGGGTCATTCCAGTAAGAATCGCTCAGACCCAAACATCCCCCATCCCATGAAGGATGTGCACCTGCCATAAACATGTAGCAGGAGTGAGAAATAAGCCACTGAGGTTTGGGGGTTGCCAACGGAGCACAGCGTTACACTCAGCCTCTCCTGACTCATACAGCTCATCTATCAATTAAAATAACAAACCCTCGGTAGGATTTTCCTGAGGGTTAAATGCAGTAACTTGCATGACGGGCCAAGGTTATCACAGTGCTTGACAATAACAGGGGTTTCAAACTATGGCAGCTGTAACTATTAAGTAATAACAAAATGGTTCTGAAGAAGTGTGTTTTTTGTGTTTGTTTTTGTTTTTATAAAACGAGCAGGACTGCGTCTGCTGGTCCTGACAGGTTAAGTTGTATCCTCTTTTCAAGAGTGGCACACTTTATTTGCTGCCACAGGTAACACTTCCTAATCACTTGCATTGTTTGCCAGCACCAAGGTATCAGATGCATGCTTGACGGTATCTCTGAAGAGTAAAAATGTGGAAAGCTTCAAGCAGGAGAGACTGACTAATGACATAAAATAAAAGGAATTAAAGAGCAATAACCAATTTCTTAATGAGCAGAATAGATTACAACTACTATGAACCCACACTCCGCTGTTCTGAGTAAACAAAGGCACAAGGTTTTAAAGTGTTAGAAGATGTAGTCTGAACAGGGTTTCCCCAAATAATTTCTGAGTAACACTGGTACCTCAAATGCTCTATGGAAAAACTGTGCCGTTCCCATATAAGTTGGGGAGAGTAGCCCTCCCTTTCAGACTCAGTGTTGTATATCAGCAGATCATCTAACAAATTCCTACAGTATTCGTTTACCTTCAGTTCTGTATGTCCCACACTTCCTTAGAGTAGAGCACATTTTGTTGTTGCTTTGTCCTGGCCCTAGTGTCTCACAGAACAGACTTGGAAATGCTGAAATGAGAGAAAAATCGATTATTCGAGCTACCTGTGCTATCAAATATCACAAGTCACAATATTCTCTAGCCATCTACTGAGCAATACTTAAAACCCCGTAAGTTTAAGCACTGTCTTGCTAATTAGCTCAACTTCATAGACCCAATACCACTTTCATAACGTACCAAATGTTTTAACCCATGATTGAACTTTAAATCCATTCACTATGCTTTTCCACAGGAAGAAAAGAAGAGTTTCCAGGAAGGAATCTAAGAAGCAATCACAAAATCGGGGGGTGATGGGGGAAGAATCAGAAACAAAAGAGCATCAAGCTATACTACTATAAGCCACTGACGGATCCTAAGCACAACATGAAATTTGTCACCCCACTCCCCAATGTACTTTGTAAAGCCAAATGGAAGTTCAATTAAAGTATAAAAAGTAAATTCTGAATCTTCACATCATGACGACTTGGACACTTTCATTGAAATATCAAATTCTCTTAAAAAAAAAAGAAAGAAAGAAAGACCGCTTCTCCTCTCTCCCTTTCGGCCACCCCTCTGAGCCCATGTTTAGAATGTTTAGTAGAAAAACAAATTACAGAAACAAACAGAATCTTTACATAATCAAGTAAAAGACAGAAATTAAGATTGGGTCTGGAATCGCCTATACCCGACGTCCGCAAACTTTTTACACAGGGGGCCAGTTCACTGTCCCTCAGACCGTTGGAGGGCCGCCACATACTGTGCTCCTCTCACTGACCACCGATGAAAGAGGTGCCCCTTCCTGAAGTGTGGCGGGGTGGGGGGGCAGATAAATGGCCTCAGGGGTCTGCATGCGGCCCGCGGGCCGTAGTTTGGGGATGCCTGGCCTACACAAACTGGCGTCTAGGAAGTCTCGAATGTCCTTAATAACAACATGGTCTGACGAGGGACAGAGGAGAGAATCACCTGGCACAGACAGTGAATCAGGCAGGGTGGCGGGAAAGGGTAGGGCTTTCCAGGGTGGGGCCGTGGTGGTGGGGGAGGGGGGATCCCATCGGGCTTCCACAGCCCTAACCCTGACGGATGACTTACAAGGTCGTGAACGCCCGCCGCCCTGCTACCCACCCCACGTCTCACATCTTAAACCCACCACGTTCTGCCCCAGAGCTGTCTCCTCATTCACTTCTCTCTCTACCAACTACAGCTCCTGTGAATTCAGGATCCAGGCGGACGGCAGACATGGACGCATAAGCGCGCGAGAGCACCCACACGGGTGCGCGAGAGCGAGCACGCACTCACGCATGCACGCAAGCACGCGCACGCACACACGCACGCACACAGACACATACACACACACACACACACACACACACACACACACACACACACACACACGGTTTCTCTGCCAAGTGTATGCAAGTTTGGCCACATTAAGAAAGTCCTCTGCCTACCTCCACCCAACCCCCTCACCCCTCCACCCCCTTAAGCGCCCCCCAAACCTCCACACACAGCCTCTGTTATTTGAAGATTGCTCAGCCACCCCTTAAAGCCCAGGTCTCAGTAAACTTCTGGTAACCGTTGGTTCCCCTAATACCAGACGTCCTTCCACCGCGGCAGGATATGAAAGTTGCCGGACAGCTTGAGCCGCAGTCCAATAAAACTTTTGCCTGAGTCAGGGCGTGGAGCACAGTTCTAACGGTCGTCTACCTCGGTAGTTCTGACTCCTCAGAAAGTCACGGTCAGGAGACCTTTCCTACACTTGAAGGGCGGGTGCCTGTACCTGACGAGAGGAGAGGTCACAAGTCACACAGCCGCCAGAAGTACGTCTCTGACAAGACTAGCGAGAGTTCAATCTTCGCGTGACTGCAAGGGCGTGGAATGTCACGTGATCACAGGAGCTACGCGTACGACAGACATTGGTTAGTTGCGCTGCTCACGTGACCGCAAGGGTTTTGCCTGCCACATGATGATAGGAGCCGCTTGGCTGCCCACACACAGATCCGCAGAGTTTGGCAGCTCACAATCTTTCCATGACAGAGAGGAATGAGCCTGACTCTGTGGCCGTGGGGAGGAGTGGGTGGGAACACTGTGCATGACCATAGCATCCACATGCCCCTGAGCAGTAGGTCATCTACATGACTTCGAGGGCTGAGACTTCCACATGGTGGTAGCCAGTAACGGCCACATGAGGGAAGAATCCATGTGAGCAACACGGTTCAGGAGTCCACCATACTCTAGTGACTGGAAGAGCTGGACCCACCACATGACCGTAGCAGCGACATGACAAGAGAGACCACATGACCTCAAAGTTTTAGAGCCCTTGGTGCTGATATGACCAGGAGGGCTCTACCAGTAGGTCTCATAATTGTAGTATTTGCGTGATGGCAGCATCTACGTGACCTGCAGCCTTACGATGCAGCAAGGCTCAAGTACCTAGGAGCGGTGGGTCAGCTTGAGTCAACTGCCTGACAGTAGAATGCAACCACTGTAGAGTTCTCCTAATCTGCATGTTTCAGGAGACCATTATGTTCATGAATCCCAGAGCTCTGATAATGCTCACATTTCTGAGATGGTGGTACCTCCAGATAACCTTCCACAGCAGACAAACTTGAGCTTTCTCTACACCCATCCCTGTTTGTTTGTTTGTTTGTTTGAGACGGAGTTTCGCTCTTGTCGCCCAGGCTTGAGTGCAATGCTGCAATCCTGGCTCACTGCAACCTCTACCTCCTCGGTTCAAGTGATTCTCCTGCCTCAGCCTCCCGAGTAGCTGGGATTGCGGGCACCGGCCAACATGCCTGGCTAATTTTTGCATCCCAGTGGAGATGGGCTTTCACCACGTTGGCCACGTTGGTCTTGAACTCCTGACCTCAGGTGATGCTCCACCTTGGCCTGCCAAAGTGCTGGGATTACAGGCATGAGCCACCGTGCCCGGTCCCTCTATCCTTCCATAATATATTTTATGTGTTTTGTTTCTAACAAACATGAAATTTAATACTTTACAGTGAAAAAGATCCTCACTAAAACCGTAATTGTAAACACTACTGCAAGAGCCTAAGCCGTCCGTACAGGTCAGCACTGTTGACTTAATTTCATCCAGGTGCAAACGAAATTAAGGCAAACCTAATGAATTTGAGTTGTCTACTTGAAAAAGAAAATGCGTATAGTGATTAGTATGTGCCACACACTCCAAAGGTTAACGCATTTAAGAGTGCTAACTCTATGGAGTAGGAACTATAACAGAATTTTACAGATGAGGAAATTGAAGCACAGAGGCATTAAATCACTTGCCTAAGAGGTCACAGACATTGTAGGTGGCAGGCCAGCTGTCTCCCCCAGGCAGTATGGCACTAGACTCTTCTGACTGCCCCCGGGTTTTCCAAGCGGAATTAATTTTAGTTCAGCCTTATTAATTCACACAAACTGGAAGCCAGACCCCGTTACTGAAGCGTTGAGATCTTGGATGTTCTCTTTGAAATGCCAACTAAGTAATTTCAAGTATTATTAGTAAATAGCACCAGTCAATGCTGAATCTAATTAGGGACCTCAGGAGACGCAGTTAAACGTATACATATAAACCTACTATTAATATATAAAATATGTGTATATAAAAGACAGTATAAAATGCTTGAGGTTAGTTGAAAACATTTCCTTCTTATAAAAATCACTGAAAAGAGAAATATCAGCACGTTTAAAACATCATAACTGGCTCTTGCCTGAACTACAACAATTCTGAATTTGTGGAATCTGAATTATAATTAGATTTTACCGTTTCATTATTCTGCCTGTGTCTCCCCAGAAAGGACAGAGAAAAGGGAAGGAGAGTACACATTGCAGTGGTGGTGGTGGTTGTTAATCGCAATTTCACAAACCCCATTTTTGCTGATTTGTGTGGGAAACTGTGGCTTCATCAGCATAACCAAAATAAATTTGGTGGAGTGGAGTCTTTCTGGTTTGCTTGCAGAGGCAAACAGTGCTATCCAAGCGTTGGGATTACTCTGCTAGGTTCCCACCCTGTGGCCTGGCTACATAAATAAGCAGAAGAAAACTCAACAGACCAAATTTTCCACCACACTTAAAGTGGAATATACTACTGAGGACAACAGGCTGTGTTTGTGGTTCTAAGGTTATCAAAGGAAATCATGACATTTGGAAGGAAGGACTAGGAAGTGCAAATCAGTGGGTCTCGGATAATTCTGGAAAATTACTTATGGGACACATGTAAATAAAGGATATAAAATGGGGCCACCTATTTATGAAAGAACCTACGATGAAACTTCAAGTTGGATTTAGGCAGTATCTATACACAGTCACAGGATGGAAGCCTACTTCAAGACCTGGTATCTGCCCCGACCCCAGTTCCTATCATTACATACAGATGAACGGATCACCAGTAAAAGGCACAGCCGAATTTTGTCTAGCCCACCTATGCTCAACTGGAACTTACGCAGTATTGATGGTGATTATGGTCAAATTATTTCACCAAAAGACAAATCCTAATTATAACTCTTACTTTAAGTCATATTTTGCTCCCATCAGACTTGATACTCATATCATTAACCCTTTCTCTGAGATGATTATCAGGAGTTTGTTCAGATTTTAGTTACACCAATGGAAGTCTGTAGGCGCTCTAGTATACACAGACAGTGGGGGAAGGTAACTCTATGGACAAAGATTCATATGTCTGGGGTCCAGTTTGGGCACTGAATTTATTAGGCGCCGTGTTTACTTAGGTGAGGCAGGTTGAGAAGCCATTTCTCTTGCATGTGATATGGCAAGATTTAGCGGGAACAACTTTCTCTTCTTTGACCTTTTTGTTCTGTGGTGGACGTTTTGGAGATCTGTGCTCGTGGCTTTCGGAGGAGTAGCTTTACCTAACACAGAAAAGAGAGAAAGGGGAGTACCGGAACTCCCTTTCTGGAACTTACTTGGAACTCCCCTAAGTATCAGAACGGTTGTGACATTGTTAAATTAAACATAAATA